TAGAAGCATGTTAAATAAAATGAGGTGAAGAAACTTCTGCCAGTCATGTTTTCATTTTCATGAAGCTGTCACTGAAGGGGAAATAAAGTTTAAACTCGTTTTGTTCTGTCTGCTCTTTGTGTAAACCTAAAACTGCTGTAATTCTTATTATTAGACAACGTGAAAATAAAATGAAGTACTAAATGGTTCAAAATAAAACCACTGGGCTTCATTAAGTTTTTCCACTTGTAACCAGAAAATACATTTTTAGGACATACTATACTATGACTTTTTTGAAACGCTGTACTATGTATTTTCTTTCCAAATACTTGACTACGACTATAACTTGTTTTAATGACATACTATACTCTTTTTATATTTTCAATATTCTTTTTGTCTTTTTATGACATTTCTAGGACATACTATGACTATACCGTCTTTCAGGACATTTTGATTAAATACTTTACTATGACCTTTTCTACTTTGCTATACTTTTATTCAACATACTGTGAATACAATGACTTTTTCTTTTACTTTTGTCAGTATGGTTGAAGCAGCAACCACAAAACACTGACATGATCTCATCTTGTCTCTCTAATGCTTTGGACAAGGTTCAACACTGGCTGAACAACAGTTGCTTACAGTTAAACGTAAAAAAAAACAGTATGCATGATGTTCAGTAAACGACCAGTCAAAATAGAAGGATCCAACGTGTTTTTAAACGGAGCAGAAATAGAACTAGTCTCCCACTTCAAGTATCTTGGAGTCATATTGGACTCGAACTTGACTTTTAAGAAACATATTAAAGGTCCCATGTCATGCTTTTCCGGTTATTACCCGTCCACTTGTGTGTTATGAAGGTTTTTATGCATGTAAACGGTCTGCAGAGTCAACAACCCTCAAAGTACACCATGTAGCGAGTACAACTCTAACACAGAAAAGACCTGTCTATGCTGCTCCAAAACGCCTCGTTGGAGATTTCTCCTTTTCCATTTGTTTCTTCCGGAACCAAAATGGACCAATCCGCGGAGCTCCTCACACACCAGGACCTTTAGCGTACATTTTCAACAAACAGGGACTTGCATAGAGCTCCCTGGTTGGTAATAGACGAGTTGGGATCGCGGAGAAATGCTCTCCGCAGACCCATTCTCACAGCGTTTATAAACCTTTTTCTTACTCAATATCAAGCCACACTTATTGTTTTTACTTCGGCTGTGAGTGTTTGTGTGTGCTCATGATGAGTTTCGCGCTGTCCCGCTGTATCGCCGACCCGGAAACCACACCAGTAAGCCAGCTCAGCTCACTGAGCAGCGAGCATGGATGTATAATAAGAACCAATCAGAGCACACTGGGCTCACAGGGAGGGGGGGCCGGAGCTCCAACAAGCCGTTTAGGACAGAGAGTGAATACACATACTTTACAGAGATGCTGTATGAGAAACAAATGTGAGTTTGGAAAATTGCACAATATAAATCTATTTTAGTAGACCTCAACAATGGAATTATGATCAGTAGAAATGGCCATGACATAGGACCTTTAAACCAATAGAACAGCTGTACAAGAGAGCTATCAAGGTGTTTGACCGAAAGCCATATTCATACCACCACTGTACCATCCTTGAAAAACACAATTTCTTAAGTTTTGACAATTTTAAGTCTTTTAAGAGTATGTGCTTTTTTTAAATAAATGTTTACATGGACTGGCCCCCCCTCCCTTAGGGGAATTCATCCACAAAAAACACACTGGACGCTGCACTAGGTCAGAAACCAGAGGAGACTGTGAAGTCCACCGCAGACTGACCACTTTTGGACAAAATGTACTTTCCATTAAAGGCAGCTCATTGTGGAATAGCCTCCCAACTGAGATACGGGATTGTCCCACTCTCAATAGCTTCAAAGGTCAACTCAAAGAATGGCTGAGAAACAAACATCCGTGCAATCACCGCTAAATGCACTTTGACACAGGGGTATCTCCTCTTGCACTTTAGGTAGCTCTTGTATCTTCTCTTGCACTTTATATGTCGTTGCTGCTATATTGTATTACCATGTCATAAATACTTGTGTATGCTGCTCTTGCTTTTTTGCATATCATGTATTTTGTTTTTGCTATGTAAATAAATTAGCTCAAAGCTAAATCTGGCACTGTTACGCTTGACACATTTTAATGTTTTAAGTGTTCATTACTGTGCATTGTCCCTGCCAAATAAACGATTAAATAAATAAATAAACATGTTCAAATGTTATGGTCATTAAACAAATGTTTTGTAGGTTTATCAGGGTAGGCCTATATGCAGGAATCCTGAAGTCAAATGTAATACCTTTTAAGACCTTTTTTAAGACCCTTTCCATACATTTTAAGACCTCATCGCCACTGAGTTTTAACCGGTTACATTGGCGACACACTTTACTTACCTCACATTTACTATATACAGTATTGATTGTCCTTCCTCCTTATCTTCCAACCATTTGGACGCAAACTTGCATTTCCCCATAACGATGTTGTTTAACAACCGGCGTAAACGGGCCTTCGCGCGCTATCAAGCAGTGAGCGCGCGATGTCCTGTTCAGATGAGGTCAAATCCAACGGGATGCCATAAATAAACTACACAGAATCACACTACACACCTACGCAATGATTACATTCAGGCAGACTTTAGAATACAACCTCTTTGGACAATTGATATACTTATTGAAAACACGCTACAAAATGTAATACCTTGGAAAATGCCGTTTAATACTTTTTAATAGCCTTAATTTTCGCTAAATTTATGTATCTACTTTTTAAGACCCCGCGGACACCCTGATTATGTGCCACCAAAGATAAACCAACACAACCAAAAAGACACGTTACCTATAAAAACATGACAATAGTTGTTTGCTTTCTATATTTTTATTGCAATGATAAGATACAGATATATTTCCAGACATCCAGTTTTATTAAAGTTTACTCCAATATTGCATGAGACAGTCTTCAGAATGAAATTGATCCAAATGAAGACAACTAGGTGATCAAAAGACAGACTTTTGACCATAGATAAAACATTGATGTTTTACAATTTCACTTTTTTATTTCCCCCAGAGATGTGCGATTAGAAGCAGCAGCATAGTGTAATAATACTACAATATACAACAGACCGATACTGTGCGACAGTCAAGAACTATTGGGAGAATTGGTATTCTTTCCTCTTTTGTGAAACGGTTATGCCAATGTTTAGAGAACAGCAACTGGCAACTCAGGACACAGAGATGCACTTTGCCCTTTGGGGAAGAAAACAAATATAATCAAAAAGAAGAAACATGGAGTCAGAAAGTTGAAGAGCTACAAACCGCAGTGGGATTACAGGAGACACTAAAACAGTCTAAGTGAGTTCACTTTCAGGTCAAACAGAAACTGTACAGGAAGCCGTGTGGAATATATTAACTCATTGTTTTACGAGGAGAGATTTTGCCACTGGTTGTATAAGCTCGGGTTAATAACTGACCAATTGTTAGTGAGACAAATCCACGTGGAAACAATCAATGTTACGGTGGGAAATGTAAAAATATACAGAAAAACTTGTATGTAATAAATTCCCACTGTTTTCTAACCCCAGATGTTTCCTTTAAATTTGCTCTTTATGATCGTAGAAAAAACCAAAAGCACATACAAATAAAAATGAACTAATACAAAATGAAAGGAAAAAGAGTTTTATACTTTATTATACTGTTATGTTTATATTTGATATATCCATAGAATCCATATATAAATGATACCATTTCTTATACTTAAATATAATCCTCGCTATGACTAAAAAGAGCCTCTAGGCAGAAAGTGATGAAGGATCTGATTGGACCGCGCTCTGACTGGACATTAAACTGCAGTCTGGATTTTCACGACGGCCTCTGAGACAGAAAACGGTTTACGTTGGGCGTCTAAACGGTTTCATTGAGACCAAAAATCTTTGTTTAGCTACACACTAACAACTTTGTGCTGTGCTTTTTATTTTATTTTATTTATTTCAAAGACGTGAAAGGTTTAAGGAGTTTGACACGGCGGTTACAAAATCAACAAATCAACAAAAACGTACCCTCGCTCTCAACAATCCGCATTGTACGAGCCTGCATAACATCATTATTAGTCGTGTTTGGCACTAGAATCAACTTTATATCTGGTTCGGTTTGCAATAAACAGTTCATTAGAGAATTAAACATCTTCTAGCTTTAGCGGTACAACAAATGCTGACAACCTTTTGAAGAAGAAAGAACGCTAAGCACGCCAGCTGTGTCCCAGCTCGCACTATGGTCAACATCTTTCTGGCATCACCTCAGCTAGCTGTACTACTCTGCTCTAATAACACTCCATCCAGCCACAACATGGTCGACTTTAGGTTTCTTCGAGTAAACTTCAGGGTTTGGTCCATCTGGCTTGGTTGGGGTTTCAAAGCAGACATGCTGGTCAGTTTGATTGGAAGGGAAACTTCTCCCCAAAATCAAAGATGATATTTTTTCTCTTGCCTGTATAGCTGTTCATCAATCTAGCTTGTTTCTGTCTTTGGGAGTTGCTGTTGGAGATATCAGAAGGAGGATGGCTCCCTTCTCTCGGAAAGATTATGGAACTACATGGCACTCGACTCGAATTGAAACACTTAACGCCACTTTCCTATTCCGGAAATCATGACCCAGTGTCTCAGGATAATCCTTTCACTTTCTACCGAATCACTGCACAGAAAAAAGTGTGCACGTACTCAAGTTCTAGTGACAGGGTGAGATGTAAACATTAATGGTGTCCTCCTCAGATGAGCTTAAACAATATAAATTGATAAATTGTACAACAGGTTAGAGGAAAATGTGTGTCTTTGATTTTGGGGTGTACTGTTCCTTTAAGCGCTGCCAGGCTGCTGGCATTCAACAGGAAGTGGAGCGTTCTCCTGTCACCGAAAGAACGAGGGCTTTTTGGCTAACGTGATTGTACCAACAACATGGAGCTCAAAGACAACAGAGGGGAGGGGGGGGGGGGGGGGGGGGGGGGGGGGGGGTTGGCTCTGACACAGACTTTTAAAGAAAGGGGACATAAATAAAACATTTGGAGAGGAAACAACACCAAAAGAAAGTGACGTGAGGAACAGAAAGGACAAACTTTCCTCAGGCAAACAAGTCGGTGGCAGTTTTCGTTTTGACATAAATAACATGTGGGTGGGAGGACTCGGATCCTCTGTAAGGCTTCTTTTAGATGATCCCCCCATTGTCGTAGCCATTATCTATTTTCCCCTACGTGTCCATCCTGGTGCTGTTTAGTGGAAGATCTCAACACGAAGAGATGGAGCGGCTCCTCGGCCTCGGCAGGAGGGAGGGAGGGGGGGGGGGCAGAGAGAGAGAGAGAGAGAAAGTGTGATGGGATTGTAAGAAGTTTATGTTTCAGCAGTCTGGGGACTCGTCTCATTCTCCCCCCCTTCTTTCCTCTCTTCCTCCTCCTCTTTCCTCTCTTCCTCCTCCTCCTTCCTCTCTCTCCTCCTCCTCTCCTCTCCTCCTCCTCCTCCTCCTCCTCCTCTTTCCTCTCTTCCTCCTCCTCCTCCTCCTCCTCAGTGTGCTGCTCCAGCTCCTCCTTGGTGATCATCTCAAAGTCGTTTCCGTTGCTGTGCTGCGAGCCCTCGTCCTCCCGCCGGTCGCTGTCTGTGTCTGAGTGATGCTCCGCCCCCGTCCCCCCCCCCCTCCACCTCTTTACTCTCCTCCACCTCTTTGCTCTCCTCCTCTTCCTCCTCCTCCTCCTCCTCATCGCCGTCCTTCTTCTCACTGTCAGACTTCTCGTCGCTGTCTGATTTCTTGTTGCCGCCCTCGTCCTTGTCGTCCATCTTGTCCTTCTTGGCTCTCGGCCCCTTGTAATCGTGAGTGTAGAGCGGGCGGAACGAGTCGATGAAGCCCACGTCGGCCGTTAGGTTGGGGAGGAACCAGAAGTGGTGGCGTCCGGCCGTCACCACCCAGATGATGAGGAAGAGGATGCAGCGAGCTGAAGACAGACAGAGAGGGATCAACTTTAAACTACAGCTGATTAAATACAGCAAAGTATACATCTCTTCTGTGAATGAAAAACAATAGAACCGCCTGTGAGTGAATGTTTGCTTTTATTTTAATTTGCATTATTGTTAATATTACTAATTCCCTTTTTTATTTGTTTTTCTATCTAATTTTCTCCTTAAAAAAAAAAAAAATACATTTGTATTTTTTATTTGTATTTTCTTATTTCAGGGTTCATACACTTTTTCACCAATGATTTCCAATGACTTTTCCATGACCTTTACCTAATTTTCCATGACCAAAAACATTCCTCTTTCTCAGCAGTACCACTGGTTTATTTTGACATGGAACAGGAAAATAAGGTCTGCATATGAAACATGTTGTGCCTATCTAAAACAAATCAAATAGTAGGCTTACTAGCTTCTACACGCTAAAGCAACTAAAATCTCTCACCAGCAAAATACCTCGTCAGTTAAATGCCATTTTACGTTTCATTACTATACGATACAGTATGTATTATCATTATAGTATTACTATTTCAGCGATTAGATAAAATATAAATTATATTTGATGCAACTTTAGTTACATTTCCATGACTTTTCCAAAACTTTGGGAAAAATATTGTTTTCCATAACTTCTCCAAGGCCTGGAATTAGCATTTTGAATTTCCATGACTTTTCCAGGTTTTTAATGACCGTAAGAACCCTGTTATTTATCTTAATTACATATTTTTTCATTTTTCAAAATTCATACATTTATGAATTACATTACCTTTGAATCACCTATTTATCCATGAAAATAGGAAATTGTACACAGATAATCAATTGATGTAACATTTGTTTAATCAATTATTCAGCTAGCCAACAGTCATTTATTTATTCATTTTAAATGTTGACAGTTTTAGCTTCATCACTTGGAAATAATTGTGGAAGTCTAGAAGTCATTGTAATCCTCCCTATGGCATAACTAACTAACTACTTTGTAATTTAGCTTCGTTAAGGATGAACAAAGCTGAACCTTATTGGTACTTCTCTTCTCCTAGTATAAGGTTCATGTTTGTATTTGTTGTATTTAAGTTGATGCATGAGACCAGTACGTTTAAAATGAACTTTCTGTACTCACCGACAGCGAGAAGCAGAATACTGGCCACGAAGCAGCCTGCGGCTACACTCAGATAATAAACTCCAACTCGCATCTCTGCCGGCCACAGAGGGAACAGCGTGGCTGCGATCACTGCAATGACTGAACACACACACACACACAGTGAGTGAAGAAAGTAAAATAAGCTAAAATATATTCTTGTTCAAAAGAAATCCATTTATGGTTTTCAACCTCCGACTCACCGAGTATCAGTCCCATGGCGAACGTCTTGAAATGAACAGGATCGTAAATCCAGACAAACACCTGAAGAGAAGAGACGTTTCAGATCACCATTCATTAGGTTGTGTTCAAATCTGGCATCATATGCAAAGGTCTTTTATTGATTTCTTATGTCTAAAAATATGTTCACATGACTGTTGCATATCAGTCGCCAGAAATTCTGATTGGGGTTTGTTTCTGTCCACTCACCTCGTTTCCGTCTAGAAACAGCTGTTCCTCATGAGGCTCCAGTTTGAATTTCTTCTTCACGTCTTTCTTCTTCTTGGGAGTTCCAGGACTGTCATCCTGTGAGAGTTTTAAATAGAAACATATTATAAACAATCTGCTAAGTTCACAATGAATGCAGAGTTTTAGATGAATAGTTAGCTGGTCAGACCCATAATGCAACGTCACCGTTCATTCACAGAGGAAATGTTGGCTGCTGCAGGTGAACAGTTTTAGCACGCCTGCCACCATAACATTTGGTTTTTGTTATCTTAAGAAATTACATTTTGTATTAATGATAAGTTAGAAATAGTTCATGATATGCTACTGACTCAGATTTCTGCACAGAATTTAGAAGTGGCATACAAAATATGTAGGGGAAGGGTTAGGGGGGAAGAGGTGGCCCTGGCATTAACACTAGGCAAAGGGATTGGGTGAAGGCGTTATTTCCTTTCCTTCTGTCAAGAATAGACCAGTGTTCCCTGGGCATAAGGAATATGGATCATTAAAGCCCCTTCCCTTTAGAAAATGTTACCGCCTTAGATATTCGCAGGTGATTGATTTGTTAGAAGTCTTTCAAAGCAGGACTGTTTACCCACTGCCCCTGATTCCTAAAGATCTGTGCAGAGCAAAGTCAACATCCACCTGTTTACTGTCAGGACCAGCAGAGTCTCTGATTGGTCATTACACACACATCCTGTTTTTAATGGATCCCACTGACAAAGCAGCAATACAATACTAAATATTCATATTGATGTTTTGAGACCACCCATTAGATCCTCTAACGGGGACAACACTTTCTTGATAAGATAGATATATTATGGGTTTGTTCTTCAACATAGAGGTCAACAGTGTTGAGTCACGTACGCTCTTCTCCTTCTTGGTTTCAGCAACTTCGGACTCTTTCTTCCTCTCTTTCTCCTTCTTCCCTTTTTTCTCCTCCTCTTTGCTGCTGTCGCCCTTGGTCTTCTCCTTCTCCTTCTCTTTCTCTTTTTCCTTCTCCTTCTCTTTCTCCTTCTCTTTTTCCTTCTCCTTCTCTTTCTTGATCTCCTTCTCTGGTTTTTTCTTCATCACTTTGAGAGCCCGGTGGAAGAACTGCTTCTTCAGGAGCCTACAGAGGAAGGAGAAACATTTCTGGTTACTATGCTCTCTTTATTTAAAAATGTTTTAGTGTAAAGGAATTTCCATCCATGTACACAAACTCAGAGCTCATGAAAATGATTTTAAACCGATATACCAGAAATATATTTAAGCAATAGCTCACGACAGGCCGTGGTATATGCTCATTATATCACAGCTAACTGTGATATAATGAGCATATACCACGGCCTGAAGTGAGCTATTGCTTTTATAAAACGGTTACCAAGTGTGGCAATATGAAAGAAAAATACACACTCTAATTTAAATAGTTTTTATTAGTAAATAATGATGTTCAAAATAAAATAGTCCCTCCGTTGCCTTCTGCACGAAACATAGTGCGAGGTGGTTGCTATGCAACAACACTAACAGCTAGCGAACATATTAGACAGAGAGCGTTGATCCATTATTTGGCTATTTATTTACATTAATGTGTATGTTGCCGTTTATGATGCACCCACTGAAAAACTGTCCAGCATCAGTAGCATGGCTTACGTGGTTACTTGTATAGGTTGAGGTTGTTCTAGGCTGTTGCTTGGCGTGGCGAGAATATTGCTCCACTTTCTCCGGTCCCCGAGATTCGGCTTCCAGTAGCTCTGGAGAGAGCTTTCGCACCTGTGGCCACTAACGGTCATCATTTCTCTGCTTTGTTTCAAGACCCGCATCAGAAAGCTTTTGAATGGTGATACTTTTCCAGTTGGTCTACCTGCTCTTCACGTAGCTCTACATGTCGTCGTTTAGGTGCTTTTTGTTCTGGAGATAGGCACTGCTCAATCCACTCCTCCATAGTAAGACCACCGCGGAGGTCGAAGTTAACCTTACATTTTTCCATCTTGAGCTTTGTTAGTTTGGTAACGGACGTAATGTAACAGTTGTAACGGTTGTAGCTTTTTCTCAGACGCGGAGGGATACTGACTTGTTGTGAAAAGTAACTACAATTCTACCCGTGATATAGAGTGGCGAAGTCCCTCCCACTTACTTCCGGGGTATGGGACCTTATTCCGGAAAAGTTATGCATTGAAGTCAATGGGGAGAGAAAACTTATCTTTCGATCCCGTTTGAATTGTGCCATGAATTACACATATGATGTTTGTCAATCTTAAAAAATCATTTCCATGTCAAAAAAGTCACAGTTTGTCGTAAAACTGTTGAAATATAAGACTATGAAAAATACGTAACTAGAAAGACTACAAATCCCAGAGTCGCGTAAGTGATGTCACAATTGTTTACCTCCACCATTCAGATACCTAAGATCAGCGCAATATAGATATAATCTATCTATATGGCGCTGGCTAAGATAAGATAACTTTAACAAGATGCCTGTGTGCTTAGTACCAGGTTGTTATTATACCAGCAATGGGTCTTGCTCGTTCTTTTGCTTCCCGTCTGATGAAACGACCAGGAGTGGCTTGATCAAGTTAGCTACCTAGCTAGTAGCTAGCACGTTAGTTAGCATTACAGCCTTGTCATTTTTATTAGCCTTAACATGAAGTAACATTAAGTAACCCAAAATGTTAAACAGTAAGAGTAGTAGTCATATTTCGTGAACCCTTTGAATAGTACTGTCACCGGTGTGATCATTCTATAATACACCATTTAATTCCGGGGGAGAAATGCTAACGCTAACGTTAGCATCGGCGATCTTTTCTACTTCATGCTATCTGCACAAATGGTTGACATTAAACATTAAAACGACCAGGCAGTTCAGAGAGAATCAAAGGAAGGCAGGCTTTGCATGACATTCTTCAGGACGTGTTTCATTGTGGTGATAGTCAATCGTTTGTTGACAAGACAGTAGTGACGGCCATCTTGGTGACGTGTGTGGTTGACCAGAGATGTAGTTCATTGAGCCTTTCACACAAACAAATGTGTTACTTCACAGTTTTACGACACATTTTAATTTTTTTGACTTGCAAAATTATCTTTTAAATTGACAAACATCATATGTGTAATTCGTGGCACAATTCAAACGGGATCGAAAGATAATCTTTCTCTCTCCATTGACTTCAATACATAATTTTTCCGAAATAAGGTCCCATGGGGCTCAACCGGAAGGGGAGGGACTTCGCCACTCTATATGCTCATTATATCACGGCTAAGAACCAATCAGATTGCTTGATTTGACTTGTCCGTTTTATAAGATCATTTATATATTGCTTGAATGTTTTTTGTTCGTTCCAACACTTCATCAAATAAGACAATTGGTTGGTTTTCTTCACCTTCTATGACAGTAAACTGAATCTCCATCAATTTGAAGACATCTCTGTTTTTCCACCATTGTTTTCATGGCCGTCATAGACCAGTAAGTATTAGATCAAAGATAATGAAATATCATTATTTGCAGTCCTACATACTTATACTAGTATTACAACCCGGGTATATATATCAATTACCTAGATACCTTATGATGTTAAAAGAAAATCCTACATATGACTAAAGGTTATTCTTGTACGATATCAAGTGTGCAGCAGAGTGTTGGAGCGCACCTGTTGCAGTAATCCACCACAGACTCCCTGGTGGTGAACAGCGCCTCCTCGCCCTTCTTAGCCTTCGCCCACTTGGAGTCCAGCAGGCAGTCCACGGCCTTCGAGGCTACGACACAAAGATGGATATTAACAAACACAGAGTGGTGCAGGGACTCAATATTCAACCTGTTATCTGGACAATAATTTTAAATAGTCTAAAAACAAAGAAAGAGACAGATAGGAACTTTTTAACATTGGACGTTCAAATGATTTGAAGAGCTTTTGTTTAGTTAAGTTTAGAGAGCAGTGTAAGTGATTCAATCAATAAAGTAGCAGCTGAAGGAGTAAACATTGAGCTGAATGTCACAATAAAGTGCTGTTAAGACGAGGGAAACTGCTGATTTAGCATGTTCCTCATCTCGAACACATCTTATCATTTTTTATATTCTTGTAAAAATAGATCGCCACTTTAAGATTGGCTGCCCATCCCTTAATCTGACAGATCAAACTTGAATAATAGCTGCAGGCTGTGGAGCTCTATTCCCAGTAGGTGAGAGCCTGTAAGGTCATGTGATGGTTACTGCGCCTCAGCAGTCATAACCTTTTCCACGAACAACAACGGAGCAAACAGCATTTCCCAAGACTGATATGTTGGAATATATCTGTCAGTCTTGGGAAATGCTGTTTGCTCCAACATGCCACAGAACAAGCAAATACTGTGTGGGAGGATCAGGTCTACGATGCAGCGGAAAATATTTGATTAGTCGGACCACTCTTCAGTAAAGAGGCACAGGGTTTTCCCTAAAATACTAATTTGGAAAACCCAGCAGGCTTTTGGTTTTTGTAATAAAATCGAATGCAGTCGCACTTCTGTTCAGTAAATCCATCAAATGTCAACAGAGGGCAGGAAGTAGGAGTTGTTTTGCCAGCTGCCTCACATCCAATGACTGAGCACTTACCGATGAAGTAGTCGACTCGATGGCCCATCATGTTGGTGGACTTGGTGGGACAGTTAAATCGGAGGTACTTGGCCACCGCCTTCTCATCCTTGGTGGGCTCGCTCACCTCCTACAAAACAATCAATCAATTGTACTACAATGTTATTAAGTTTTTGAAAACACAAAAGTAAAACAAATACATTAACTTAACCCTTTTGGCTAATCAAGTGATTGAATAACTAACACATTTAAATAACTCATTTATGCAACAACCCTGTAAAGAAAATATGACCATAAGTAGTCCTGCTTGTTGATTTAAAAGACTGCCTGCAACAGCCTCACGCAAGCAGAGATAAGTCTTTCATTTGTACTTGACCTGTGCATACTACATTATAACTTTTGCACAAAAATCCAAAGTTTTCTTATATGGTTGTATTGAGAGGTGACCACACGTTGTTTAAATGATGTTGCAATCTAAGTGGCTAAACAGAAGCCTGCACAGTGCGGACCTCTAGAGATTCACATTGTGTCCGGTTTCATAGTGTATCAGTAGCAATAACATGGAGTGGCCAAAAGTCATCCACACTCCTGAACACATCTGCAGTGTGTGCCGGCCTGCAGCTCTGAAGCACAGGCCAACACAGAGGGAGGAGAGCATCAGCACAATGAGAGTCAGTGCTGCTTTCTCCAGTCCAGCTGGCTCTGAGCAGCAACACGAGGAAGACGAGGCCATAAAACAAGCCTTTGTTTAAAGAAGCAGGTATCAGTCGCTAAGCTCAGTTACATGAGACCCCTACACAGAAAGCCCCCTGTCCCCGTCTACACGATCTACCTGGCATAAGCACATGCGGATAAGCTGCTCTGCTCCAACAGCAATAGTATGTGAGGACAGATTGCTACTGTTCCACACCAAACACAGGTCCTTTCAAACATATACTGTAAGTAACAGTTTTGGCTTAACTGTGAATACGGCAAGACACAATGGGAAATGCCGAAATTTCAAAAAAAGGAGAAAACGGTTGTGTAATTTGGCATGGTCATCTCAGAACACTTCTCTGAAAGCATAAAGGAGATAACAGTAGGCCTATGTGCCTACTAGAACATGACCTACTCCTAGTTAGCACATGCATTACAAACACCAGCCACAAACTAATGCAACAGCTCTGTATTTAAACATTTCTACATAAAAGTTACGGAGTTGCAATTGTTTCAGAGAGGTGTTTGTGGCGCTGTTGAACTGTTTTGATTAATACTGAAAAGAGGTTCTACCCTTTTGGGGTAAATTGAGCATTAAAAAGCTCTCAAAACAAAACATTATAACCTTCTTGGATTGTTGTAAGACAGTTAGGGCAGGCCTGTTCTTAATTAGAGAGCACTAGGGATGCTCCGATCGATCGGTCACCGATCGAGATCTGCCGATACTCACTCTCTACCGATCGATCGGTGCTCTCTAAACATGCCGATCGCGAGGGCCGATCGCATGACGTAAAATACATGACACTTTTCTCTGTGCGCAGCAAAACAAGCTCGCCAAAATGGCATTATTTTAAGGTGTCCGAAAAAGACAGTAAAATAGCGGTATGCAACGTGTGTGTGAAGCAGAAATCCTGCAGCTCCAACCGCTGTGACGGAGCGGTGAGCGGAGCAACACACAAGAGTTAGACCTAACACACTTAGCTATTTTATCTACCTCTGGAACAAGCTAAACTAGTTATAAATATGTTTATTCTTCACTGTCGGCCTCACACATTACTGGATCAGCGAGCTGCATGAGACGATACTGACGGGCTGTCAGGAGAGGGAGAGCGGGGGAGAGAGAGAGGGAGAGAGAGGAAAAGAGAGCGCTTGCTCATTTCTCCCGTGTTATTATCCAAAGTGAATGTAAACTTGAATAATATACATAATTTGAATGTAATAATTAAGTTGATTGTTGTTTGTGGAAGCTCCAGTGAATGAGCCCCATTAACTGAGTTTTAAACATCACTTTAAATGGAAGATTTAAAGTAATGTTTAAATCTTCCATTTAGGCCCCGCCCACTCCATCGGATCGGCAGATACTGATTCCGGCGATCGGCCCCAAAATTGGCGATCGGAGCATCCCTAGCACTAATTGTCTAGGTGTACACTGAAACAATAATTTTGGCTTCATGTCAAAACTTGAATTCTGTGATGTAAAACACAATTACATGGCATTTTAATAACACAAGCTAGTTTTAGTTTCAGGTATGCTCATAAATGAGATAACAGCATGTGTGTGTTATGCAACTGAACCTCGAACAGACAGGAGAACTATACAGCTGCCATTAGGAGGAACTCAGTCTAACACAACGATCCTGCAGTCATACCGTCATTCAGGTAGACTGCTCATTTTGTTTGTGGTTCAGCTGAACACAAACGTAATGAAGGTAGGATTTAAAGCAGGCCTGCTGAATTGCAGAGTATTAGTTTCAGCTAGATGCACTTCATAAAACAGGTAAGTAACATTCTCGGTTAAAAATAAATGTCAGACCCTAAATGCTGTAAGGTAAAACACAATTGAATGGTATTTTAGAGATCATGAGAAAGTAAGGCACAACATATATAATTGTTGTCTAATACAGAGTGATGAAGTTAGTAATGAACAGGACTTTTTAATAGTATGTGTCGTTATTCAGCCGAGCTTAAACATAATATTACAATGTCAGCTTAATGCCATGCAATACACACATTCCATATTTTACTAAGCACAGCATATAGAGTGAAAAATCATCTTTTGCACAATTTCTGGGTCCAATACCATATTACAGTATACTAATACAGTATGTACAACAATAATCTCTATAGTATGTTCTGCAACTGCTAAACAATCCACATGCAGAATGATGCAATACTTTCACAATAGTCTTGACATCAACCATACTGAAACTCAAACAATCAACTACACATGAAGAAAGCAAAATGTACAGTATGTTTCAAATGTCCACTTCCTTCTAATCCCTCCCTAGTATGACAATAGTCATCTAAATCACCACAACCTTTTTTTTTACTGACATGTTTTATCACACTGACATGACTTTTAGAAACTTCAACACAGCTCGTGAATGAAAACTACAATCACACTTTATCAAAATGACTCCATACAAGTCTTAGCATATCTGTGTCTAAGCATATGCTTCAATGGGCACCTGGAATGGGAGCTTGTTTGAGTCTTCCTCATCTTTTAAATACGGGTTTCAATTTGTATGTCATGTTTTTGGAGAAATATATGGGATCCTAAAATGAAACTACTAACACCTTGTTTAAAACAATGTATTGGAGTGATGGGAATGAACACGTAGCCACTCTTAATAAGCTGTTGCTTTAAAGTGAAGAAATGCTCCAGTCTGGGAGGCCTACCACTTCTCTGCTACCTGCACATTATGTTACAGAACAACAGTATGATGTACTGTGTTGCCTCATTAATTTAAATTCCCGCAGATTGCCCCACGTTATGTAAACACGTTTAGTTAGAGCTGACGCAGCTAAGCCTGAAAACGTTAAGTTTACTCAGAATAACGATGGTGCACTGTGGAGACACTTTAACAAAAAGTACTACAACACCATTATCGTGTTTATGTTAGCGTGTGAGTGCTACAGGCGATACAGATAATAAATAGCTCCAAAACGTCACATCAAAAATAAAAACACTAACATTTGTTTTCGCTAGCCAGCTAATGCTAGCTACCATTAGCCGTCAACTGGCTTCATCCGCAAACGGTTAACGGCTCCCCACAAAGATGCTACCGGTAACAAACGGCACTCAAACGCTCCTAAACAAGGACACGGCTTTAATTCGGTGTCCCTTAACTTCTAGAGGGGTAATTTGTATGAGTTCAGTGATGTTACCTGGATCCGTTTCTTGTGCTTCCTGCGCTCCGCCATGATCCTCCAACTCAGCTCCTCCGACGTGCGCGAACCTGCGCACGCGCATAGATAGTGTATTATCGCGAGATCTTGCGATTTAGGGTTGAAGCCTTGAAGCCTACAGAATTTAGCCCATGCTGGGCATAGATGTCACCACACCTACACAGGCCCAGTCTGTCACTTTATTTGACAAAATGTGCTTACTTATAAATGTTCTATGCATTGGTTTTTCATGCAGGTGCTCGAGGTTCAACACCGGGGGAGGGACATATTTTGTCTTCTGTTATGCTGATGTTAAACCTGGAGAAATTGCCCCCCCACCACTTTTCTAACAAAGTGACGCCCATGTATGAATATATATTCACACAATTCAGAGGGAAATAGTGTACGTTCCACTGCATTTATTTGTTTCCTTAGTTACTTTGCAGATTTAAATAAATAATAGGCAATCGTAATCTGTTACTATTGTTTTTTGTTCTTTGTGTTACTATGTGTTTTTTTTATTTGAAATGCAGATTTATGAAATTGAATCCTCACTTATTTATTCCTTACCATGACAGATAGGTAGTACTGCAGGTTCTCAGTAGAAAAACACTTTATTTAAAATACAACAAACGCAAGAAAGGTATCAAACATTCAAACATCTCACTTTGATTATTCTGTAACCATGTAAAACCATTCCCATAGTATGTCTATGGTCCTTATAACGGCCTACTGGATGAGTGACACTTATAGCAGCTTAAAAAAATAAGTTTGTTTAAAGCTACAATCAGACTTTTAGAGGCCTGTTGTGAATAATGAAAAATATCTTCTTAGCTCTTAACTCACACATCAGTTTCACTTCACTTTTAAAAATATATTCACTTTTATATATAAAAAACAATTATTAAGCTGACACCTGGGCCTAATGGGAACTGTGCATTAAATGGCAATGTTTAGCAAGTAGTAAAAGAAGCATAATCAATCCAGTAAATGTAAACAAATCCATCACTGAGGCAGCTTGATGAGAGCCTTGCAGACTGGTGAAGTTTTTTCATCTGTCCACATGTTCAGTCCTGATCAGGCTGTCTCGCTGCAGGCAGACGGAGGGGAATTGTTTTCTGTCTCGTGAAGGTGATCTGTGGATTTGAGGACTTCGGGGTCTCTTGGACTCGCCAACATCTCGTCACTGGTGCAGTTGACAGGAGAGCCGATCTCTGAGGAGCGGTCCGCAGCTTTCTCTGGAGTGGCCTGCAGGGCGGAGGAGGAGAGCGGCAGGTTCATCATGTACAGCATGTTGCCCATACGCCTGGACACCTGAGGGGGAATAAGGAGAGTTTAAATATATTAGATGTATTAGTGTTTGCAGATGTGTCTCCAAAGACATGAAGTAGAGGACAGGAAGTGCTGCAGATGTTGGTCAACATCTGTATGACATCTGTTTCCTCCATTTTTTACAGAAGACATTTTGAAATGTCACAGTAGGAAAAGCATGTGTACAAAATAAACCGGTTGCTGGCTGCGTTCCATTTTTTGGAAGCCCAGGGAACTCGATATTTAAAATAGAATTTTCATTCTTATTTTAAAAGTCAGAGAAAATTGAATTTTCCTTTTTTTAATTAAACATGACATCAAAGGAAGCAGGTACTGTTGTTAATATTGCATTTTAATTTTCGAATTTGTATTAGCATTTAAATATAGTCCACTGTACAGCAGGGTACAATCTTTAAAATGAAATACAGCTTTTCTATTTTTTTTTCATTCATTTATTTCATTTTCAGCAACCCCTGTATTTTACTTTGACAGTCAACATATACCTCTGATAGTTAAAGAATAATCAGTAAACCTAGTTCTACTATTACAACATTTTCAACCAAAACAAATTAGACAAATGATCATATATTGTATAGATATTGAATCCATTCAAAGTTGCATTAATTGATGAGTTGTTAGCACAGAGGCATTCCTGTATTCTCAGATAGCACACATCTCACATTTTGTTTATGTGTTTAATCCCAGTGTGTTTCTCCTACCTGTGAGCGGATCTTTAGTGCTGGTCCCAGTTTGAGCCCCAGTGTGTCCAGCAGATGCTCCTCTGACAGAAGGGGCAGCGTCTCCCCGTCAATCATGTGGTCCTTAAACGTCTGCAGAGAGATGCCACACAGCATTAGCACAACAATGACTGAACAGAAAGAATAAAGAGAGTTTCAGATAACACTAGAAACCAACCTGAGCATATTCTGAACATGTGGGTATGCTGTTGATAAAGTTGTAAACATCATTCACGTTCCACTTCCTGATATCTTCGGACCCTTCATCCCCATTAAGAAAGAGATTTGGTCGACCTGGAAAAAAAGACATACATCTTAGTTGGTGTTACATCAGTGGTGGACTGTAACTTTGTGACTTAACGATTTTGAGTTACTTTACTTTCCATTATATGTTACTTTATACTTCCAATCCACTACAATTTAGAGGGGAATATTTCACTTTTTACTGCACTACATTTATTTGACATCTTTAGTAACTAGTTAGTTTGCAGGGTCAGATAAATATTAAAAAACATATTAATCATGAAACACATTCCTTTTTAGTATTATAGGTTAAGCTGACCAAGAGTAGGCAATATAAGATTATTTTTTTTACACATTAACGTCCTGAAATGTAACTTTTTGTATATGAGGACTTTTACCTTATGTTTTTTAATATATTTTGATGATAACACTTCCTTTAGTAAGATTTTCAACACAGGAATTTGCATGTGTATTGCTACTTTTGAGCGCCTTTTCCATTACTGTGTAAAATACTGGGTGAAGGATTTAGCTAAACTAATATATTGTAATCTAGAAACTAACCAGGTGGAAGGAAACCATTTCCAGGGACTGGGAACATGTAAGGCATGCCAGTGAGCGCTCCACCAGCGGAGGGATCCATGAACTTCTCCTGGAAAGCCGAACACTGGCTGGACATGTCTTTATCGTTTCCCCCGCTGTTGGCCACATCCGACCCGTCCTGACTGTTCACACAGGATTTACGCAGCCCTGTCTCCCCCTCTTTGTAGTTCTTCCTGTTTCCTGCTGTGAGTTCAGAGTCTATTTTTCCTTGATGGTGCGCCTTGCTGGTGGCACACTCCTCTCCCATATCCCCCTTTGCCTCCACCTCTTTCTCCTCCCCTGACGTGGCCCCCGGGCTCTGCTCTAATCTCTTATCTTCAGTGTGGCCCTTCAGGTTGGATACGTGGCTCTCTGCGCTCTTGTGAGATGTTGGCCTCCTGCCGACCCTGCGTCCTCGCTCCCTGTGCAGCGTGCCGATGTGCGGGTAAGGGCTGGCCGACATGAGGATGCTGTTGGAGTGCAGCTCATCCAGGCTGGGGCGGTGCACGAAGACATCGTGGCCGTCTGGCATCCGCTGACGACCTCTGAACGCCATGGGGTTTGAAGAGTAGGCCATGGGGTTTTCAATTCCCAATAGTCCCTTCTGGTGGGCATTCTCCAGCTCCTTCTGGTGCAGGATGGCATTCATCTCCATTCTGAGGGGCACACACACATATTAGACGTGCAGTTCGTGCATGATGGAGACAGATTATCACATTTTGATATTAAAGCCATACTTCATCCTAGACATGATCATTTCTATATCAATTCTATACCACATTACATTTAATTTGTGAAGTAAACTGTGAATTGAAGTAAATTGGTGCCACATTAAACAACAGCACAACTATATCAAAACACCAGTTTACAAAATCTCACAGAATTTATGTAATATAATCCAAGTCTTACTTATTCAGTCATATTCTCCATTCTTCCCACATGCATGTTTGCTAGGACTTTAATACTTAAAACATTTCAAAATAAACACAATGTGCACCAACGAGTCATTTGGAAGTAAAAGAGACCTATTACAATAGAGGAGTTGGGTGAGAGAATATTTATAGATAGTTTTGCAGTTGTCAAACACGAACCCCATTTATTTTAATTCAACAAATCCTTTCTCTGTTTTTCGATTGGTGAACATGTTTTGTTCAAGAATTCACAGTAGAGCAGGTGAGTAATTGATATAGAAATGGTCATTTTGTAAGTTAAATATCTCTTTTAATATAAAGTCCAAAGCTATTGTTTCAGTTTCATTCTGCAACATGTGAAGTGGACCTGTGTGTAGGTGGTATAGGTCTGTGGGATGTTAATTACTTTCTGCACGCAATACCTGGCTATATTCTGCTTGTGGATGAACTCCTGTCGCCGAGCAACTGTTTCCATGGGTTCGGAGGGCATAAAACCATATCCAGCTGAAAAACAAAAAAGACACACAGGCTGTTAACACTCATTCATATTCCTCCTTAGGGAAAGGCAGAGAAAGGCTGGGAATGATCTCAGGTGCATCTGGCCATGCTCTCTTCGTCTTATGTACATACTGTACTTATGCCTTGTCTTTTTATGCTGCTGCAACGCAAACATTTCCCAATTTGGGATCAATAAAGTACTAATCTATCTATCCATCTATCCATCTATCCATCTATCCATCTATCCATCTATCCATCTATCCATCTATCTATCTATCTATCTATCTATCTATCTATCCATCTATCCATCTATCTATCTATCCATCTATCCATCTATCTATCTATCCATCTATCCATCTATCCATCTATCCATCTATCCATCTATCTATCTATCCATCTATCTATCTATCTATCTATCTGTCTATCTATCTGTCTGTCTGTCTGTCTGTCTGTCTGTCTGTCTGTCTGTCTGTCTGTCTGTCTGTCTGTCTGTCTGTCTGTCTGTCTGTCTGTCTGTCTGTCTGTCTGTCTGTCTGTCTGTCTGTCTGTCTGTCTGTCTGTCTGTCTGTCTGTCTGTCTGTCTGTCTGTCTGTCTGTCTGTCTGTCTGTCTGTCTGTCTGTCTGTCTTGTCTGTCTGTCTGTCTGTCTGTCTGTCTGTCTGTCTGTCTGTCTGTCTTGTCTGTCTGTCTGTCTGTCTGTCTGTCTATCTATCTCACCTGCTCCAGGGAAACCTCTTCCTGGCATGACATTGGCATGGGGGGGCATAGAGGGACCCATGTGAGGTCCCATGTGCATCTGTCGGGCATCGGAGGCTACCATCTCAGAGGGGGGAACCATCTCCCTAATGA